ATTACCAAACACTTTTTCCCAGTCTGTGGCTTCTCTTTTTACCCTGTTGAAGAAGTTTTTGGATGTGCATAGTGATTTGATTCTTAAAAGGTCCCATTCATCTATTTTATCTTCTCCTGATTGTAGCGTGGTTGATGTTTTTAAAGAGCCCTTTTTTTGAGGTTCATTCTAAAGAATTTGTAAAGAAGCTGACAGAAAGTTTAGTATTTACTTTAAAATAATGTGTTGTTATGGGTAATGCTGGATGGGGGTATGATGAAACCAGCCATGAATTGTAATTGTCAAAGCTGAGCCTTAGTTTCATTGTACAATTTACTCTTCTTTTATATATTAAAATTTTCCCATGACAAGAAGTTAGAAGAATTTCAGCAAGTATAGTTAACTTAAACTTTTTGTTAGTTTCATATTTTTTTCTTACTGAAGCCTATTTGGAAAAGCAAATACAGTTCTCCCTTTAAGTTATTTTTTATTACATACCAATTTAGTAAATCAGCTATTAATATATATATATATTATATATTTTGTTTTAGTATAATAATTAGGAAACTGCCAAATTTATGCTCACCTTTAACCTAGCTGTAGGTCTCAAGTTTAGTTGTGTGGCACTTTAGTATAAGAGAATACAAAAGTATTTATAACTGACTAAGGGTTTACGAGGAGATGATATGGTAAATGTTGAAAAAAAATAAACTCAAACTAGTACTGTGACTTAACTTTTACTGCCATACTTTCTGGCATATGAAATAGCACCTATTTATTGTGCTTGTTGAAGTGTTGTTATTTGCCATCAACTCGCCTGTGACTCATAGCGACCCTTTGTATAGCAGCTCTGAACCCTGTCCTGTCCTGAGCCAGTCTCATTGACTCCATCACCAATCCCCATGTTACTTTATCAATCCATCTTATCCAATCCTCTCCTGCGCTGACCCTCCATCCTTCTGAGTATGTCATTCTCTAAGGACCAGTCCCTCAAGGCCATGTGCCCAAAGTATGTGAGCTCAAAGACGGAGCTTCAAATTCCTAGTCTCTAAGGAGAAACTTGGTTTCACCCTCTCTAGGACAGACCTATTTATTTTGGTGGTTCAAGACTCTTCTCCAGCACCACAACTCAAAGGCATCGATTTTTCTTCTGTCATCCTTAGTCATTGTCCGACTCTCTGATGTATTTTCTGTAAATTTGAAATTTTGAATTAAGTAATAGAATGGCAGTATCAAATTTAGTGGTTTCAGCTTCATAGCAAAAGTAATTTTTTAAAAAATTGACTTAAAGAGAGGTGAGGCTTCCAGATCATTCCCAGTCCAGCCCTCTGTTATAAGGTTTGAAGGAGAGTTTGTTGAAGTTATTACATTTTTAAATCCTTAGTTATTGAGATTTTTTTTTTTACTTTATACTCCATCATTTTTTAACAAAATTATCGACTTGCATACAATCATTCATATACATCATGTTGCATACATGTACTTTGTGCTTTTTACAATAATTTATATACATTATATTTTCTATAATTAGTTACCATTGATCTATGCCTGTTATCATCATATCTTTTTAAGTCCCTATTGAGCCTTTCCCAGTCCTACACCTCACATAACCACCATCCTCTGCTCTCCCTGCTCCCTTTCCTACTCCCTCTCCCCTCACCTTTTGAATATTTTTCACAACAGTAGTCTTATGCAGTATTCGTCCTTATGTGACTAATGTATTTCACTCAGCTTAATGCTCTCTAGATGCCCCCATGTTAAATAGTATTTTAAGAATTTTTTTAGTGCTATATACTATTCTGTTGTGTGGATGTGCCACAATTTGTCAATCTGTACATTTGTTGACATGTTGCATATCAAAACAACAATGAGATACCTTCTCACCCAAGCAACAATGACAAAGTTTGACAACATAGCAAACAATAGATGTTGGACAAGATGCAGAGAGATTGGAACTCTAATGAATTACTGGCGGGGTTGTAAAATGATATAGCCACTATGGAAGGCAGTTTGGTATTTGCTCAAAAAGCTGAGTGTAGAAATCTCATATGACTTGGCTATTCCACTGCTAGGAATATATATCCCAAGAAATCAAAACTGAGGCATAAATGGAGATATGTATACCTGTGTTCATAGCAGCGTTATTTACAATAACAATGAAATAGAAACAATCCTGTCTCTTTAAAAATGGCATTGGAAAAAAATGGCATTGGATTAGCTAAAGCTCAGTTAATGCATTTATTACTGATTATAAACATTGTTCTAATAGAAAATGAAGTTTTTTATTATTATATAGTAAGAATTTTATTTTTCTACTACCAAGATTTTTTCATTGTTTTCCCCAAATCATTTTAAAGAATGATTTTCCCCAAATCATTTTAAAGTCCCTGAAATGACTCTATGAAGAATGAAAATGAAAGAAGACTTCACTGTTCTCTATTCATTCAACAGTAATGACCAGCACCAAAATGAACAAACATAGTGTGAGGAGATTTAGAAATGTTGTTTAAAAATGGTTTCTAGAAGCTGATTTCCTTTTTTAGAAAAATGAGTGCATATTTTATTTGATTGCAGCTGGTATGAACTCACATTTAACTGGACAAAGGTCTTCAATATTATAACTAAAGCAGTGATTTTTTTTAAGCTTTCAAGGCAATAGTCCACAGTAAGAAGAACAAATTTTTACATTGTGATACGGTACATACCACATATCTCACTGCCTTGGAATAGATTCAGAGTCATAGAGGAAAACCTTTGCAGGAGTTAACTGTCTAGCCTTTTCCCACTGAATGGTGGATTCAAACCACCTTTGACCTTTGGGTTAAGGGCTGACACATTGTGCATTCTTAATACTCAATGCATTCTGATCTAGTGTAGTCATGTTTTTTCCAAAAGAAATGGTAGTCACAATCTATGACATTGATTTGATAATAATCTAATGAGTTGCACCCATAATTTGAGGCACATTAACCTATGGCGTAGTCTGGGAGTTGTACTGCTAACCCAAAGACAGCTTAAAGGAGAGAAAGATAAACAGTCTCCTCTCAGACAATTTCCAGACTCCAGCAACTTACTGGATGTTCAGCTACGAGTCAACAGCAGTGAGCTGAGTTGAAATGACCACAAGTTTATATTTCTATGTTTTTAATACTGCAAATTGTTTTTAATTCCAAAACAGATTCTTCAGACAATATGCAGATTCTTCAACTACAGGTTCTTAACAAAGCCAAAGAAAGACAAGTAGACAATTTGATTGATCAGTTAAATGAGAGTGAACGCCAAGTTAGATATCTGAATCACCAGCTTTTAATAATTAAAGGTAAGAGAAAACTGTTGGGTGCTGTAATTTTTGAGGCACACTAGAGTTATATCTGATGTCCAACTATCTCATTTGAAATCTGAAGCTTAGAACTGAACCAACTTGTCAGACAGATTGAAACAGAAACCAAGATTTAAGCCAGGATTTAACCCAAAGTTTACTTTGCCTTGAATTATTTCTTTCTAAAACATAAGACCTTAGGGTGTTAATTATCTTCTATTTTTTTTCCCCTATCCTTTTATTCTCCCTCTTTTTCTGTCTGAGACCTCTAGGATCAGTGAACATTAGTTAGCTTAGCTGATGACATTTTATTTTAAAAGCTGTTGATTACTTATGCAGTTTGTCTTGGATAAAATATTCCAGTACTCACAGACTTGTGTTTAGTTTGCACTCATCATTTTTTTTGTGCCTACTAATTAGCATCTAGTTTTAATCCAGATAAGAGCGAGTGACCTTGAACTCCTTTGGCTGTACCAAAGAAAAATTTGTACCATATTTGAGAGAGGTACAGAGTAAGTACAGCTTCAAGGCACGGTTGTTTACTCTTTGTGCTTTCTGCTGTTTTGGTCCATGTTTAGCTTTCGTAAAATAATTTCATGTGAATTCCAGTCATTTCAGGCTTAATTGATAAAGAAAAGGTCTCTTTTTATAATATTCATAAAATTTATTTTGAGAAAAGTTGTAAATTGTTTACAGGAAACTATGTATGAAAAATTTAAGATCAGGTGAATTTAGGTAGAATTTATTGCAAATCTGAACATTGTTGGTATGTGCCATAAAATTGCTTGGACAAAAATGTATAAGAAGCAGTTAATCTTCTGGTACCTTCTCTTATTATCGGAAGTTTTTGACATCTCTGTAGTTTCACAAATAAATATTAGAAATCTTTATTAGCCTTTTGAGACTAAAAATAAGACTTTTGAAGGTCATAGTTCTGTCTGATTGGTTATTTATTTTTTTTTTATATTACTGAGGCATTCTATTTGGAATAATTTCTTTATCTAACTTTTTCTAAGTCAACTAAAGTTCATTTGTCGAAACTGAATTTAATTCAACAGTGTGATGCTATATACCTGATACCTGACAGAGATCCTGACAATATGACCTCCTCTGTGGTCATATGTTAATTATATAAACATTTCCAATGCCCTAGATGAAAAGGATGGTTTGACTCTCAGTCTTCAGGAATCACAGAAACTCTTTCAGAATGGAAAAGAGAGAGAATTACAGCTTGAAGCACAAATAAAAGCACTTGAAACCCAGATACAGGCATTTAAAGTCAATGAAGAACAGGTAAATCTTTTTTCTTGATTATATAGGATAAATATTATTTATTATGGTGTGGAGTTTAGTGATGTAACACACTTTTGGCATGATAGAACGAAATTTAGAATAACGGTAGATTTCAGTATCTACTTTGGCTCTCTTACCTGGGAGGAATGGCACTATCAGCTCCTTATCGTCTGCACCAGAAATCTAGATGAGGCCTCCACACCTGTCTTCTCTTTTATCTAGTTAGCTTTCAAGTTCTACTGAGTTTATTCTTTTTCTTATCTGGGAGGCGGGGCTCTATGAGGAGAAATGCGGCATCAGGATTGGAGGAAGACTCATCAACAACCTGCGTTATGCAGATGACAACCCTGCTTGCTGAAACTTAGGAGGACCTGAAGCACTTGCTGCAGAAGATCAAGGACTGCAGCCTTCAATATGGATTGAAGCTCAGCATCAAGAAAACAAAGATTCTCACCACTGGGCCAATTGGCAGCATTGTGATGGATGGTGAAGAGATTGAGATTGTTAACAGCTTTAGTTTGCATGGCTCCACAATCAACACTCTTGGTACTACCAGCAAGGACATGAAAAAAACAAATTGCATTGGGAAAGTATGCTGTCAAAGACCTCTCCAAAGTACTGAAGAGCAACGATGTTAGTCTGTAGACTAAGATGTGCCTGATCCAGGCCACGGTCTTTGTAGTTACTTGCTTTGCATCAGAAAGCTGGACAGTAACTAGGGATGATAGAAGGAGAATTAATGCCTTTGAGCTGTGGTGCTGGAGAAGAGTATGCACTGCTAGGAGAACACGCAAGTCCGTCCTGGAGATGGTGAAGCCAGGCTGCTCCTTGGAGGCAGAGATTCTGAAGCTTCTTCTGATAAAATTTGGAAATGTTGCAAGGTGGGATCAGTTCTTGGAGAGGGACATCATGCTTTGGAGGGTTGAGGGACAGCGCAGGAGAGGAAGACCCTCAATGAAATGGATTGATTCAGTGACTGGAGTAATGGGGTTAGTTGTGTCAGAGACAGTAAGATTGGCAAGGGATAAAGCAGGGTTTAGGGCTGTTGTACAGGGGTTGCTATGAAACACAGTTGCCTTGATGGACATAACAACAACAACATCCACTGAATCGAGATTTTCAGCACCATAGTGCAGAAGTCTCTGAATTATTCTCTATTCTGAGAACCTTTTACAAATTTTATCTAACCTGCATATCTTTCTGAAATATAGTCCTGATAATGTTATTCCTTTGCTTTCAATGACCCTGCTTTGCTTATGGTCTGAAGTACAGCATCAAGATGACCAAGTGCTTCATGTTAATTTTAGGTGCCATTGGGTTAGTTCCAACTCATAGCAATTGTGTGATCGAAACATTGCCTGTGTCACCTCACTTTTCACAGATGAAGCAATCTGTTTATTTTGTTTATGTGTGTGCTGACTCTTCTCTCTAGAATGTGCTTTCTAGGGCATGCTACTGCTTAGTTAACAAGACCCTTCTCACTGGTTCCCTGCTTTTCTCTTCAATCGAGACAATCAAATTTATTATAAAGATTAAGAACTTCTTGAGGGCAAGATTGGTCTACCCTCAGTTTATTGCCATGCTGTGTTGGAAAAGCACCCACCATGTAGAAGGCCAAGATGGTAAAACCTCATCTCATATACTTGGGCATGCTGCCAAAAGGGGCCAGTCCTTGGAAAGACACATCAAGAGGGTCGGTGAAATAGAGGAAGACTCTTAAAGAGATAGATTTACACAGTGACTGCACCAAAGGGGTCAAACACATGGGGGACTGTGAGGATGGCACAGGGTAGGGCAAGTTTCAGTATGTTGCTCGTAGGGTCACTATGAGTGGCAATCAACTGAATAGTAACTAACAATACCATATACTTCCACCTCTAGTATCGATTACTATTTCAATAGTACCTTGGCTGTCCCCTTATGCTATGTTTTTGTATAGGAATAAGTTACCACTTTGTAATTTTATTAGTTACATAATGCATAGGGGTGAAAAAGTAACATAAACATAAAACTAAAATAAAGCAATGACCAAATATATTAGTGTCCTATTGTTTCTGTAACAGATTGCGAAAAATTTAGTGGTTTAAAACATAATATTTATTACTCACAGTTGTGGAGGTCAGAGGTCCCCCATAGGACAATAGTGCTGTGTTTCTTTTAGTGGCTCCAAGAAAGAGTGCTTGCTTATCTTTTCCAGCATCTGGAGACTGCTCACATTCCTTGGTCAGTTGCTTCATACTATCTCTGAAAGCATAGTGGATCCTTGAGTTTTTCTGGTTTTTACATATCTGTGTGGGTCTTCCCCAGTTAAGGACTCTTGTGTTTATGTTGAGCCCACCTGGGTAACTCAAGCTAATGTCCTTATTTTAAGACCAGCTGATTAGTGACTTTATTTCTGCCTTGTCATGTTACATGACATATTTGGTTCTAGGGGTCAGCATATGAATATCTTTGGTAAAAGGTGCAATGTTCTGCTTACTACCTCGAGTTGGCAGTAATAGCTTTAAAAAGTTTATTTTTAGTAAGTATGATTGACAGTTTTATTCACTCCTTTTAAAAAAAAACTTGTCATTTTTTCTGTGACCTAACAATTGGGTTACCCCATACTTTGCTTACTGAGCAATGCAAATTGCACTGGGCCCAGTACAACAGCAGAGGATTCCTGGCCTGAAACCCACACCTGTCATCATGCTGCGCAAAATGGTCTTTCTTTCTCCTTGGGTAACTATGAAATGGTTATCTCATTGGATAGTGTTCCCAACAACCCACAACCTGATTGTCCAGTAAAGGAAGTCTTAGGGAACAAGAGCCACTAGGGAGACCCTTTCATTTCTCCTTTTATTTAGCATGTCAATGCACTATAAAATGGCTCTCTTCTGTGTGTGTGTGTGTGTGTGTGTGTGTGTGTTTGTGTTCTAGATGATCAAGAAGTGCAGAACAACTGAAATGGCCCTGGAAAGCCTAAAGCAGCAGGTGCTGGAGCTTCATCATTCTGAGTCACTGCTTCGAGCTAGGGAGCAGCATGAAGGCATAGTTGCGGGTCTCACAAAGAAGTACGAAGAGCAAGTGTCGTCTTTGCAGAAGAATTTGGATGTCACGGTGACTGCACTTCAGGAACAGGTTTGAATGTTTTCTGTTGAGCAACTATCAGCAACAAGTAAAGCTGATGATTGTTTATAACTGACATTTTGTGATTCATCATATGGAAATCTGAGAACATAGTACATGTTTGTGCATGAAACTTCTAATTTTTTTTAATTTATGAATATTGCCTTAAGACGTAATTTTCAAACTCCTTCTCTTTTGTCTATACCTTCTCAGTACTCAGGTTAGAGTTTTAATTTGTAGTGTATTTATCCATAGTGTTCATGGTCTCTGGATAGTTATTGCCCTACAATAAATCCAGACTGAAATGAGTGAGTGTGCAGGTAGCTTCATGAACCTGAGAGGTTGTCTTGAACTTGAACCAGGGGAAGAGTGTTCTGGTTGTCTGAGAATTTTCACATTAACATTCCAATAAAGACTTATCTAGAAATAATTTTTTTAAATAAAATTTTTAATTTTAATTATGATTGTAACAAAAGTTAGATTTTCATGTATTCATTGTTACACATTTTACCCCCTCTTCCTCCCTTTCCCCTCCCCAAGCTGACTTTTTAAATGCTAGTTTATTTACAAAATTCGAATACATTGTTTTTGAGAACAGATTCTTCCAATTTCTCTCACCCCTCAACCCATCAAATTGTACAACTCCATAATGAATCTCCCCTAGAAATATTTCTTGAGAGAAGAAACAATGTTGAGATTAGCTCAGAAATAAGAGAAGGAAGTCTAATCTAAAACCATTTATACTTGTAGCTTTCATATACTTCAGTCAGTTCCCCCCATATTTATCCAAAAGAGAATAAAATATCATAGGTCAAGAGTGATTTCAGTTGGTAAATTTGTTTATGCTCAGAAATCCTAGGTTTTATTCAGAGTATGTTTTTCTTAATGTAATTTCAGAAATAATTTAATCCAAGGAAAAAGAGACGGAAAATAAGATGTGAGGGTATGGAAAAATCCTAGCATGCTTAAAATTTATCCTAATTTAGATGGTTATTTCTTACAGCCAACTCTAAATTTTTCCGTACTTTTAGGAAGAATCATATAAGATTGCATTATTGACAATATGGTTCATCCCAATGAAGGAAAAATAGTTTTTGAAAGGCAAGAGAATTTATACTACCTTAATTATTTTAATTAGCTAAAAGAATTATGGCAAATAGAACCTTAAATTATAAATGATCCCAAAATTATTTGTATATAATTTGATTTTTCTAGGAACTTATATGATTTTTAAAATTATGTATATTTTCCTAATAATATTTTATGTTCAATTTAGATAAAAAGTATGGTGAATTTGGATCAGTGTGGAGAATATATAGGGATGAGGGGAAATGAAAGCCATGCCAGATACCGAAAAATTTACCTTATAAAACATTTAAATGTAAATATAATTTAAGATAGCATTTGACTAGTCTTCGCTGTGTTTGGATGGTAGCATTAAAGTTAGCTCAACTTGAAGAGTGGACTTCCTGAGATAACTAGGGATGAGATGGTCTGGTGGGTTTTCTCTGCTGGGCTGAGAATCCCTCCATTTACTTATGGTGTAGACACAAGTAAGGGAAGAGACTGGAGGAAATTTTCTATCTTCCATTTTTACCCTTCCTTTGATGGAAGAACTCTAGGAAACAGGACAAATGATTGATTCCTTATTGACTGAGTTTCAGACTACTAATTAAGGGCTTTTCCTCACTGTTGCATTCTGTGACTAATATTTCCACTTACTTATAGGGTGTAGGATTGATATTAGACTATGCTTATATAGTCATTGCATACTTTGCAGACTGATGATTACAAAGTGCTCACAGTTGGTTCTTTCTTGGTTGTTTCTCATGATGTCTGTTTTGTGCTTTCAGTTTTCTATAATTTGGCTTGATGTTGTTAGGTGTGATTGAGTCACGTGCGACTTAGCGCGACCCTGTGTACAATAGCTCTGAACCTTGCTCTTTCCTGAGCCAACCTTACTGTCTCTGACACACCTACACCCATTATCCAGTCAGAGTCAATCAATCTTGTCGAGGCTCTTCCTCTCCTGTGCTGTTCCTCTACCCTCCCCACCATGATGTCCCTCTCCAAGGACTAGTCCCAAAGCACTATTTTTTATTTAAAGTCAAGGTAACAATCTTTAATTCATACTATCTCAGCCTCTACGTGGAGGTTGGTAAATGAGAAGATACTATAAAATCAGTGAGGAACTGGGAGCTACCTGCCGCAGTGACAGCAGTACATGAGTGTTTCTTACACAGAAATGACTGACCTTTAATGACTGATAACCAACTCATATATACATTTCTGTAATTCATACATACATACGTACTAGATTTTGCCTCTTGTCCTATTTTTCTTTATTATTTTTATTTTTTATTGTGGTTTGAGTGAATTTACAAAATTTAACGAAGAGGTTCCAAAGTTTCAGATAAACATTGTCCAGATAAACATTTACCACATACCATTTAACAGGTATGTTAGGTACAAATACCTGAGTAATTTATCCAGATGAACTTGAATGATGTTGTTGACATCTAAGTTCTGAATGGTTCCCATGTGGTCACACACAATTGTGTTTCTGTGTATATTTATGTATACACTGACAATGGAGTAGATATTGATGCACAAAAAGATTTCCTAGTAACAGAGATTCTTAAATTGTAAGTGTAGTTTTCTTTTGCATATGGATGTGTCCTGTTTCCATGCCTTTTCAGTCTATATGCAGAACAGATTATCTGGAAAGCTGGGCTCAGTGAGGAGAAATGTGGCATCAGGAGTGGAGGAAGACCCATCAACAATCTGTTTCATGCAGATGACACAACCCTGCTTGCTTAAACTGAGGAGGATCTGAAGTGCTTGCTGCAGAAGGTCAAGGACTACAGCCTTCAGTATGGATAGAAGCTCAATATCAAGAAAAGAAAGATTCTCACCACTAGGCCAATTGTGATAGATGGTGAAGAGATTGAAATTGTTAACAGCTTTGGTTTGCTTGGTTCCATAATCAACACTCTTGGTACCAGTAGCCAGGAAATTAAAAGACAAATTGCATTGGCAAAGTCTTCTGTCAGAGACCTCTCCAAAGAACTGAAGAGCAACAGTGTCAGCCTGGAGACTAAGGTGTGCCTGATACAGGCCATCATCTTTGCAATTACTTGTATTGCATCAGAAAGCTGGATAGTAACTAGGGATGATAGAAGGAGAGTTGATGGCTTTGAGCTGTAGTGCTGGAGAAGAGTGTTGAGTATACTATGGACTGCTAGGGGAACAAACAGGTTCGTCCTCGAGAGGGTGACACCAGGCTGCTCCTTGGAGGCAAGGATTCTGAAGCTTCATATGACATACTTTGGACATATTGCAAGGAGGGGCTAGTCCTTGGAGTGGGACGTCATGCTTGGGAGTGTGGAGGGACGGTGCAGGAAAGAAGACCCTCGATGAAATGGATTGATTCAATGAATGGGATAATGGGGGTAGGTGTGTCAGAGACAATATTGACACAGGATAGAACAGGGTTTAGGGCTCTTGTCCGTAGGGTTGCTATGAGTTGCAGGTGAATCAATGGCACATAACAACAACAACAACATATATTATCAGAAGACTTACGTGCTTATTCAGAAAACCCAGATTTGTGTCTCCTTTTAATGATGGTTAAAAATTATTGCTTTATGTAGTTATTCTTGGTAGCAAAGGACTACACTTATATATTAAACTAATAACTATTTCAACTGTTCAGTAGACTAAGCTAAGCATCAGAATGTGAAAAAGCTTTATGCTTATATTTTGAAAGACTGTTTGGCCTAACGATGATGTAGTTGGAGTAGTATTCCATGATACAGCTGGATTAATTTTTTTTTTTACCAGTAGTTTTTATGACCTATATGACTTACAAAATTATGCTGTTAATTTAGTGTTGTCTTAAAGCCATCAGCTTTTCTGTGTAGAACACAATATGCCCACTTCCAACATATTTTATCAACTCTTCCCATTTTGGCTGTGTTCAACTGGGGTTTTTAGTTTAACAGAGAACATAGGAAGAGGTAAGCTTTGTGAATTCATAATGTGCCCCTGATGACAGCACTCTTTTAACACCAGACCTCTCCACCCTCTCCTCCAAAAGTGCCCTCTATTACCTTCCATTCGTAGAAGCAGTACTTGGCCCTCTCATAATCTCCTTGGTGTTGTAAAACCTTTCCTCCTTCTGGACTTTTTGAAATCTGCAGCTTTTTGTGAAAGCAGTTACTCTTTACTTTCCTCGTGGACCTGGATTTGTACATTAAGCCTTCCACCTGATTTGTTTCTTAACCTGGATTTGTACATTAAGCCCTTCATCTGATTTGTTTCTTACCTCTCCGTAAAGTTGCTTTTTAAAGGCTCCATTGTAAACACCTTGTGTTGGCTGAGACTCTCCTGTGGACAGCTGTGTAGTCTAATCCTCAGATTCTGTGCACCCGAGCCCAGTTCAGTTCTCTTTGCTCATAGAGATTCAGCTGTCCCTTCTGAATCATCACACCTGACTCCCTCTTTTTTAAAAGGTTCCTGCCCTTCTCAGTCATGAGCTGTGTTATTAATCTAATCATGGAAAGGATGGAACTTTTTTTGGTTTGGTATTAAAACTTTAGTTTCATGAATTTCTGAATTTAACAGGAAATATCATGGCTTAATTGATTGTTGGATATAATAATATTATTTCCAAGTCCTGTCTCTTTACAATGTTCAATGCATCTAGTTAATTTTCTTTACATATTTTTTTATATCTGCCTTGGGGTTTTTCCTCCAATGTACTTATCTTTGTAGTAAATAAAAGGTTTTCTTTCACCTTTTGCCTGTTCCCAGCCTCTTACACAAACTACCGTGACCTCCCTGGCACAAAAGTATTGGTTGTCTCCCACCCCTTGTTAGACACACATTCATACGGTCATGAATATGAGCTCATTCATTGTGTTTGTCATGCTTCTTTGGCGCCTTAAAAGCCATGCTTCTCAAGCTGGCCTGGCACTCCACAGCAGTGTGCCAAGAGGTTTGCAGGGCTGAATAAACATGGACCAGTTTCCAGGAGTTTCATTTTGCTCAAAAATTTTGGAGGAAAAAAAAATTAAAGCAAACCCAGCTACATTATGAAATATCCAAATAACCGAAACGGAACCTGTTACTGTTGAGTAGATTCTGATGCATAGCGACCCAAGAGGACAGAGTGGAACTGCTCCAATGGGTTTCTAAGGCTATAAATCCTCAGAAGCTGTCTGCCACATCTTTCTACAGTGGAGCATCCAGTGGCTTCCAGCTGCCAGCCTTTTCATTAGCAGCTGGGCACTTAACCTCTGTGCCACCACTGATCCTCACCTTAATAAATAGAAGACAAAATGCATGTGACTTTTTAAGCTCAAATAGGAGTTCCTTTTTTCTGCTCTTAAAGGAACCTTTGTGCTAGTACCTGTAATTAATTATTGGGCTTATGCTGTCCTATGGACAAGATCAGGCACCCTTCTCTTTGCTTTATAGCCCTTGTTTGATATTCCCTTTACTTCTTATTTTATTTCAAGGTACTTCAGTTAACTTAGTTCACTATTCTGCCTCTCCCATGGATCATTTACCAGTGATTCAACCTGTGAGTTGTTTTGCTTTTTTGTTTTGTTGTTGTTGTTAAGAAGTGATGATTTTTACAGCTTTCTTCTACCTGAGCTTGGGAATTTCTATGGCTTGTTATTCCCAAACACATTTTTGGAAACTTGAAGATATTGTATAAAACCAAAACCAAACCACACCTGCTGCCAATTCTGACTCATGGTACCCCTGTAGAACAGAGCACGACTGCCGTGGTCTGTGCATACAGAAGCAGATTGCCTCATTGTTCTCCCACGATAAGCTGGTGGATCTGAACCGCTAGCCTTTCACTTAGCCTAATGTTTAACACCCTATACCCCTTGGAGATATTAAATCATATTTTCTGTGTATCTCTATTTAGTCTCTCTCTCTTATGCATAAACACACATGCACAACTTTGTTTTTGTAATTCATTTTTCAACTGTTAATTGAGACACTTGTGTGTAAGGCATTGCACAGGCACTTTCAAAGAGGCTTCTGCAAAAATAATATATGTAAATGATAAGAAAAACATAAAGCAGAAGCTGATAAAAGATTTTAAAAAGTTTAAAGAAAGGGAAGATTAGTTGGGGCTGCTCAGAATCGAAAGAACAGTTGGCTGGACAGAATAGATTGAGTTTCATGTGCTTATTTATAACCTTTTTGTTTTAGGGTACAAATTCCATGATTCAAAGTGGCCTACCTAAATACATGTACATGTACTTATACCAACAGTGAAAACCACAAATGAGGATGCAATCTATTTCCTTTGGCTTGAATACAATCTAATTATAAACACCTTATGAACATAGAGCAGAAGGGGAGTTAGGAGCCAATCGAATTCAACCTTTCTTAGCATAATTCCAAAGGAAGAAATAGACTTAGAAATGGATTTGTTTTCCTTGACTTCCAATCCTGTCCATGTAACTCAGTAAAAATGGTAATGTTACAATTTGACTTTTGTATTTGTCTTAAAATATAATTATAAAATATATAATTATAAAAATATATAATTATAAAAATATATAAATATAATCTTTACTTTTAACTTAATATGTAATAGCAGAACTGGAAATGACTTCTTGGATACTTTTTCCCTGTTTAGGAAAACACTTGCTCTCATTTGAAAGATCACATTAAACAACTGGAAAGGAATCAAGAAACAACCAAATTAGAGAAGACAGAGATCATTAACAGGTTGACCAGAAGTCTAGAGGAGAGTCAAAACCAGTGTGCCAGCTTGTTGCAGTCAGGTGGGTGTCTGACTGGGCTCTTGCCTCCCCAGTAGTGTAATATGCAGAGAGAACATGGACCTCTAACTTACAGAATACCTCAAGGGATTAGAAAAGATAATTGATGACCTGATTTTTCTTTTTCTTCCTAAACACTAGTATGTATAATGGTATTGCCTTTTTATTATTATTTGGAAAACAGACAACAAAAAAGCTAAAATAATTGTATTCCTATTACTCCTAAATCACTTGATTAGCATTTGGGAATATTTTCTTCGAATAGAATGAATCTACATACATAGAAAATTCTCTGATTTTGTACACAACAAATTTCTGAAAACATAACTAAAGATGAATTTGTAAAAGTTGAACAATAAAATACATATTATAAGATAACTTATGCCCTGAAAGCTGAAAATGGTTTGAACTTCTGTTTCGTGTTTTTTAAAAGCAGTCTTGGATGATACATTTCTACCCTTTTATATAACCTAGTTTACTGTATAACCTAGTTTACTGTTTGTTCACCTTACAGAGTAGAGCCACTTAACTAGCTTAGGTCCATCCTGTTCACTTGAGGCCCGAGAGCTGTATTTCTGATATGCTTTAAGTTCTTAGTATGTTCTCCATAGTCTAAGTTTGTGACTTATGCTTTAACAACACTTTCATTTCTTATTAATTTTTATAAAAATTATACTAGAATAAAAGGCAATAAAAACCTGTTCGCACAAACATTATAGACGAAACTTCTTTGCCGTAAACAGCACACTCTGATAATAGCTCATTGAGTTTTTAATTAACTAATATAGGAATGTCTGTATACTGTATGGTCTGAGGTTCTTCAAAATGGAGACTCCTGTTAAAATCTGCTTAAGTGTGTGTTTTGTGACTGGGGAGGCAACAAAATTTACCTCCTACTCTTGTAAGGTCCCTCCTCCATGTTTATTTGCTACTTAGTTCAATTTTAATACAGTTCTTCAGGAAGAATGGTGTCATAGACACACTTATGTGAAGCTATAAATAAATGTAATGGGAGAAGAAATCTCTCTTCACAATTTCTTTATATTGATTTACTTCAGTAGAGGGATAGGAATATATAATCTTTGGTACTTAAGCCATTATATACATTTAAAATATTGCATTCTTGATGAAAGTTTGCATACCAAATTAGGTTCCCATTTAATCCTTGTTTACTTTGGGTTCTCTGTTTCCACATTGTGATATTTGAGGTAGATTTTTCCTTTCCATTAAGGATTCTGAAAAGACTACTTTCTTCAATTGCATAATATGCCAGCATTAGTCCACTTAACCATTACCCGGATGGCCATTTTCTATTGGGGAAGCCTAATATAGTTTATTTTCATTGGGAATGTCCCCTGGTGCATATAAAATATTAGACTGTTAAAGTTTACAAATATGCTTCTTTCACATGTAGAGGCTGGGATGGTGGGAATGAAAGCATTTCAAAAAAAGGAGCTAAAGGCAGCACGATGGTGTTTTGTTATAGGAAGACTAGAAATGAACACAAAAGAATTTTTTTCTTTGTCTTTCTCTGAGTTGAAATGTTATGCTTTTACTGAAGGCCTTCTGGAGTCTTATGTTTTGTAAATGTGCTAGATTGGTTCTTAGCAAGGACACAGCAACCCCTCTCTTTACTGACCTGTGACATACTGGGAAGTCCTGCCAAATCCTAGAAGTGCCTGGACCAGACCTGTGGGTCCTGCTGGCTCTGAAATCTTTAAGAACTGAAAATGATGGTGACAGTTGAAACAGAATTTGACCTTTAGTGAAGTTAGGTTTTTGGTGTAGATCACAGTTATTTTTTACTTTAACATTTATTGTATCCTATGATGCTTTCCCTTGTAGGCACAATGCAGGAGGTGGCTCACCTGCGGCTGCAGCTGCAACAAGCACAAAAAGCTTACAGCATGAGTGAAAACATGAACAAGGCTTTTCAGGTAAGGGCTGCCACTTAGAGAAGATTCTATGAGTCAATAAATTAGACAGTGTTATTTCAAACCTTTCTGGACCTCATATTTTTCTATCTTCCTCACACAGTTGAGTGGCCAATTCCTTGTCTTTGTAAGTGCAGAGCCCTGCTGTATCCTCCACCTGGCATGTCCTTTCATCTATGAAGTGTCCCAGAAATGAGCGTATTCTACAAGTGTGGGGAACATTCAGCTTAGCAAAGCAGCAGCATTTACTTCCTCTCTTGCAGTGCTGATTCAGTTTTCTTTTTAATATTGGGAAGAAGTGTTTTGCCTTTCCACACTGGAAGACTAAAGTACTACATGCACTTGTCATACCCAATATACTTTGTCTAAGGGTTACCATCAGCCTCTCAGCTCAGGGTGCTTTTCATGGAGAACAAAAGAGAAAAGAGGGAGACATGAGATAGTTAGTAGAATTTTCTCATTCACTCATTAGTTTTGTTCAAAACTTGCTACATGCTGGCCACTGGTTGCATCTAGGTAAAGAAATGTGAACGTGATAAAAAACGTAAATATGCATTAGTTGCAATTTATAGACCTTTAACGTTGCCCTCTGTGATGAACTCGGTAGTAGCTGTTCTTATAACTGAACTTGTAGATAATTTTTGCTAGCTGTAATTGTTGTGTGTGCTGTTAAGTTGGAACTGACCCATAGCTGCCCTCTGTCTTTCTCCTGCATTCGGTTGCTCTGGTGCCCTAGTGGTAAGGAACTCTGCTGCGAACCCAGAGGCACATGATTCAGATCGCCCAGCTGCTCTGTGGAAGAAAGATGGGCAATCTTCTCCTGACCAGTAGCATCACTGTTGTTGCTCTTATGCATTGTAGACTCGGACCTGACTTAAAGGTGACAATCTAGCATGTTTTCAGAGGCAGTTAATCACATGGGAGAAGAGTGCCCAGTTTTTCCCTATAGAGCAGCTGGTGGGTTCTAGCTGCATGCCTTCGGGATTAGTGCAACTGCTGCTGCTTTTTTTTTTCCCTTCCCTTTTTTTAAATTGTGATTTTGACAAAAGTTTATAGGAAATTTGGATTTTCATTCATTCTTTGTTGCACATTTTCCTCCCTACCCCCTCAGTTCACTTGTTTCTTAAAAAACGTTCATTCATTCCTGCATAATTTCCTCCCTCTACTCTGCCAACCTTCCCTAATCTACTTTGCAATGCACCTCTTATTCTGGACTGTTGTTATACAAATAGTGCTTAATCATCTACAACCAGGAGAAGATAAAATAGATGAATGGGACCTTCTAATAATCAAATTCCTATGGACATCCAAAAAAGTTCTCCAACAGGGTAAAAAAGGAAGCCACAAACTGGAGAAAAATATTTGGTAATGACATGCCAGATAAGGAACTTATATCTAGAATTTGTAAAATGCTTGAGCACCACAAGATAAAGGTAAACAATCCAATTGAAAAATGGGCACAGGATATGAACAGACACTTCACCAAAGAAGACGTTCAGATGGCCAGCAAGCACATGAAGAAAAGTTCAAAATCCCTACCTCTAAGAGTGATGCAAATCAAAACAACAATGAGATGTCATCTCACCCCAGTAAGAATAGCAAAATGTAACAGAACAGGAAGCAACAAATGCTGGTGAGGGTGTGGAGAAACTGGAACCCTTACTCACTGTTGGTGGAAGTGTAAAATAGTGCAACCACTGTGGAAGGCGGTATGGCGCTTTCTCAAAAAGTTGCAAATAGAAATACCATTTGACACAACAGTTTTACTACTGGGAATATACCCAGTAGAGACCATAACTGCCACCCAAGCAGATATATGCACACCCATGTTTATTGCTGCTTTGTTCATGATAGCAAGGAGTTGGAAACAACCTAAGTGCCCATCAACAAACAAATCGATAGAGAAGCTGTGGTATGTTCACACAATGGAATACTATGCTGCATTGAAAAAGAAGGAAGTGATGCAATATTATTCAAAATGGGTGACCCTGGAGGACATTATGCTGAGTGAACTATCTCAGTCACAAAGGGACAAATACTGCATAGTGCCAGTGTTGTAAAACAGGACTGACATCGGGGTTGGGGGAAGACTGAGAAAAATAGGATAAATAATGTATACTGCATTGAAACAGATGAGGGAGAAAACTGTTTAAAAGGGATATGAGATTAGGTATTATTGTCATGACAGGAGTCCAGAATGAAGGCTGCATAGTGGACTTGACCTGGGCGGAGGGATTGTAAAACAGTGGGGGAACTTTTCTTTTACTTTTCAAAGAGAAGAGTGTACTAGGGGGGAGGGGTGGGCAGGGAGAAAAGTGCAACAATGAATGAATGGAAACCCAAAGTCTCTGTAAATTTTCATTAAAATTAATTAAAAAAAAAGAAAATGGAAAAAAAACCCCTCAAACAGCAACAACAAAACCCTCAATAATGCCTAATCATATATTCTTTTTAAAACTTTCTTTCTTCTGTTTCAATATATTATTTATTATTTATCCCTTCTTTTCTTAGTTTCCCCTCAAACCCCAGCATAGCTAGGCCATCAGATCTCCCTAGTAGCATGATATGCCTTTAGTATTCACCACATATAGCTTACGGTCCATCATGGAGAATTATAAATAAATAATAATATGTTGTTAAAGAAAACTTTCCTACTTCTCTTAGTGATCATTAAAACAAATTTTGAAACATGCCTACACTAACTGGTTCCTTTACATTTCTAGATAGGAAAGTAATTTTAAATATTTTTGTGTTTTAGGAAGAAATAACAATACTGAAAAATGAAATTGCTCTCTATGAATCTGCTGTAGAACTAGGAATACTGCCGAGTGACTCTGAAGGAGAATTAAATGTAGAAATCACTGAATCATATGCGGATTTGAGGATTAAAAAGGTCAACTGGAAAAAACCCGAAGTTAACAGGTATTAAGGGAATAGTTTGCCACGGGAAAACCTTCATCAATAATACTGTAAACAACTAGCACTAGACTTGAATTGATGAATCGAGTAAAGGTTCTTGAATGTTTAATAGTATAGTATATTATAGTCATTTTACGTATAAATATCTGGAATAACAAGGAACAGAAACCTAGAGTATTGATTTTAATGTCTTTATCAAATATACATATCAGTTTCATGAAGAAGAGTTAGTTTATATACACAAAGTTAATTTGAAAGCAGAATTCTTCTTTATTATGAAGATGAGGGCTGATTGTTATTTTTATATGTAACTCTATTTGTTGCAAGCAGGTACATTACATGCATTTATTAATGATATATGAGAACATAATTGTTACTTACTCCTAGAAACCTTACTGTGATCTCACTTTTTTAAAAACAAGATCTGATTTGTTGCTGGTTGCCGTTGAGTCAATTCTAAGGGCCTCTGGCAGATCCAAACTGCCGATTTTTTTGCTAATAGTCAAGCACTCAACAATTTGTAGCACTCAATGACTCCCTGTCTTCTATATCATTGTTTGATACAGATATGTTAGCAATATTATGGCAACAACGTGTTACCTTTTTCCCCAGAGAATATTATGGCAACAACGTGTTACCTTTTTCCCCAGAGTGTTGGGAGTGGATAAAGGGGTTCTTTTCTTTTTAGATATCATTAAAAACAAATTGAAATAATGTTGTTGGAGGATGTTAATTTCTAAAGTCCTGCAAGGCTCTGAGAATAGATTACTGAGAGGAGATAGAAGTTTACAAAAGGTTTACACTTTCTATGGGGACAGGAAAGATGTGTTTGTAATAAAGTAAGCATTAGGTGCTAAGTGTTATGCTTTCTTAATACAAAAGAGGGATTTACTACTTTTGTGCTTTAGATATTGTTTAACTAAATACAAATAGGTAATATTCCCAAAGAGCTTGCACCATGAAATTATTTTAGAAGTTATGTATTTAAGTCATGTGATTCTACTTTAAGAATGGCACACTGCTACATATTAGGTACTAAATAAATGTTAACTTTTATTATTTAATAATATGTTGAAATATATTCTTGACCAGATTTTATATTAATCTATTTTTAGTTTAGTGTATACTTAATTCTTGATTTTCATCCCAATTTTGTGAAAAAATATAGGATTTATTATTATCCATTTTAGAATTAGGAAAACTGGAGCTCAGAGTGGTAAACTTCTTTTCTAAGACAAAGGTAGTAAGTGGTAGAACCAGTATTTGAATCTTCAAACTTTAGGTGCAAACCCATGCTTTCTGCTTGCTCGTATTTACATGCAGATGAAAACTTTTTGCCTTGAACATCATTCTCTTTATTCCTGTTACTTTTAAGGATTGGAGATTAAGCTTCTGCCAAGAAAGAGATTTCCCCCCCTCCCCTCTAATTTATCAAATCGGAGCCAACTAATAGCTCACCCTCTTGCAGATTTTCAGAGGCTCGAAATGGCATAGGAAGAGACTACATTGTCAGTCTTTCTCCTGCAGAGCTGCTGGTGGATTTGAACTACTTGCCTTTTGGTTGGCCATGTAGCTCTTTACTCATTAGGCTATCAGAGCTATATATATAACTTTTGACTTTCTGTTCACTTAGCACTTATAGACAGAGGCAGTAAATCACATGGGAGCAAGTTGCCCATATTTCTCAGCTGGTGGATTTGAAAAGTGTACCTTTTCCTTGGCAAGACAATTCTTTACCAAATCATTATTGTAATAAAAGGACTGTCAGACCTGCTCAACAGAGAGAATGGAGAATAGCTGCAGAACAGAATTGCACAATGAGTATTCATTGGGGTCCAACAAGAAGACATCTGATGAAATACTGGATGAAGGGAGGGATGCTTTGCTTGTAGACATTCCAGCCACTAGCATTTTAATAGCTGATAATTCTGCTTTGAGGAAAATGAAAAGCATTTTTATTCTCAGGTCAAACTTAGAGGGGATATAGGAGAGAAGAGATTTGTACCTTTCCTCTGGTGGACTTAGAATAAGAGGAAGCAGCAGTTTTCCAGTGTTGAGAATTTTAGTTCTTTGTTGACTTGAGCTGCTTTCAAATGACTGACCCAAATGTTAGTAGCTCCAAGCTTATATTACCAACTACCACCTCCCTTAAACTACCGCCTAGTAAATTATAAAAGTTTAGCCTCAATGTTCTATTTTACATTCATGGAATTTGAGTAGCTAAATCTGTATGCAGCTTGCAGACAGCTTCCTCTTTCTCTTATTATAGTTGGCTGCTAAGCTCAAATAATAAACATTTAACAAGTGGAATGCCTTTTCCCTTTGGTCTTCTCAGCAGGCTTCATAAGGGACTACAGTTTATTTGGCTTTAGGGGAACTGACTTCCACAGGGCTCAGTAGTGAGCCTTATGCCTGGTCACTGCTGCTAGCTTTTTCCTTTTTGAGAAAAGAAGAGAAAATTATTTTAGCAAGCACTTTCTCTGCTCTCTGACTTGGCTCCCTGTAGGAGTACAGGATGTGCTATTTCAGTGGTCAACATTCAATAAGAAAAGAAATTAGGGATGCATAATTTGTTAGCCGAGCAAAATGAGCATTCTACTTAACTTTAGTTCATCATATGGCCTTTTGTGTTGTTTGACTAATCTTTCAATCTTTACTTTCTTAACCTGAGAGTTATATTCTCATTCTCATCATGTGAGCACAAAAATTTTTCATTTTGATGAAGTCTATCTTTTTTCTTCTGTTGTTTACTTTGTGTTGTATCCAAGAAACAATTGCTTATCTCTAAGCCATAAAAATTTACCTCTTACCTTTATTCCAAGAGTTTTCTTGTTTTAATTCTTATAGGTCTATAGGTCTATGGTCCATCTTGAATTAATGTGTATGTGGTCTGAGGAAGATATCCACATTTATTCTTTTGGGTGTGAATAATATTCAGTTGTCACATTATCATCATATGTTGAAAAGATTGTTTGCTTTTATTATTGAGATTTTAATGAAACATTATAGGGATCTTGGATTTCCATTCATAGTTGCACATTTTCCTCCCTACCCAATCTTAACACCCACCCCCCGCCGTTTGCTTTTCTCTGTGAAAAGAAAAAATAAAAATTATTTCATTGTTATACAATATCCTCCCTGCCCAGTTACTTTACTATGCAGCTCTTATTCTGGATTCTTGCCAGGCAAATAATACCTAATCATGTATCCCTTTAAACAGTTCTCTCCCTCATCTATCTCAATGCAATGTACATTATTTATCCCCTCTTTTCTTAGTTTCCCCCCAAACCTGATGTCAGTCCTATTTTATAACAATGGCATTATGCAGTACTTGTCCAAAAAGATTGTTCTTAACTCAAATTCAATAAATTTTCTTGACAGATTGTTAAAAATCAATTGAACATAAATGTGAAGTTTATTTCTAAATTTTCCATTTTGTTGATTTTATGTTTATGGTTTTTGATAGTACCACTCTTTAGATTACTTTGGCTTTGAAGTCAGAAAGTTTAAAATCCTTCCAAGTGTGTTCTCCTATTTCAGTGTTGAACTAGCTATTTTGAGTCTCTTGTATTTCCATATCAATTTTAAGATTGCTTTGTGAATTTCTGGAAAAAAAAAAGAAAGCCCCTGAGATTTCAGTAGAGATTGTGTTGAATTTGTAGATCATTTTGATCAGTTTGGAGGATATCATTTGAGAGGCTGAACTTTATGAAGGATATCACCTCTTACTAATGTAAACCTTCCCCTGAACACGGGATATCTTTCCATTTATTTACATCTTCCTTAAGTCTCTTTCCACAGTGTTTAGTGATTTTTGGTATATAAAACTTGCATTTTAAAAAAAAAACAAAACAAAAAAACGAACTTGCATTTTATTTTTTTTTGTTAGACTGTTTTCTTAATAGTATTTTTTTTACTAGTATATAGAAATAGAATTGCTTGTGTATCTTGCTATAATGCCGAATTCACTTACTGTTTTAAATGGATTATTTTAGCAATTTTCTTGGGATTTTTAAAAGAATAGACAAGATAACACTATCTGCAAATAAAAATAGTTTTCTTTCTTTCCAGTCTGTAAGACTTTTAATTCTTTTTTGTGTTCAATTGTTCTGACTAGAAAGCGGAATAATGTTGATTAGAAGTGATAGATTAGATACATTCATCTTTCTTTCATCTTTTACCTGATCATGGAGAAAAACATTCCATTTTGTTTTCTCCCCATTAAGTAGGTTGGTTCTTTTTTCACTTAACATTTTGCTTGTGAGAATGATGTTGTTTTTATCTTCATTCATTTTCATATGTATCTTTTTCTTTGACTATTTCATAATTTATTTGCTATTCTGCTGTTCATAGATTCTTGAGTTGCTTTTAGTGCTATGTATATGCATTTCTGTTAGATATATTCCTAGAAGTGGATGGAATTGGTTGTAATATATGTATTTAAAGCTTTAGTCAATAATATCAAGCTACTTTCCAAAGGGTTGTGTCAGTTAACACCCACTTGAAGTGTGTTAAAGTTCAAGGTGCATTATTTAATTGTCATCCTTGATATGACCTATCCTTATAGCTATTTTATGTGTTGTTGTTGTTGTTGTTAGATGCTGTCAAGTTGAGTAAGAATATTAACGACCATATGAACAAAATATCTAAACCTTACCTTATCCTGTGCCATCCTCATTATTTGTGACACACTCTGGTGGCCTAATGACAAGAAGTTGCACTAAAACCCTGAGAGCTCTCAGTTCGAGGCCACCAGCTGCTCTGTGGGAGAAGGATGAGCAGTCTCCTCCCGTGAGATTAACTGCCTCTGAAAACCCTCCAGAGGGACAGCTATGAATTGGTTCTGACGACAAGAACAACAATACGACTTGTTACTGAAGTCACTGTGTCACTCCATCTCGTGTGGAGTCTTGCCATTTTTGCCTTCAGGAAGTGCCTCCCACATCCCCTGCACTTTTTCCAAGACATACATATTTGTTCTCTTGACAGTCCATGGGATATTC